TCTGGCAAACTTATCTGTGATCTGAGGTTTGTAGATCCTGTAATTTTGGTTATACCAAGACTAACTTTGGAAGTGTACAATGTTATATGAATAAATCTAGAAAATATATACTCAGATTAGAAGCCTGCTTGAAAATCTCAAGCAGAGAGGTAGTACAACTTTTGATAGTGCCACCTGTAAAGATCTTGATTTGCTAAAGAAAACCTGAAGCAGATAATCTGTATGAGCAAGAACCTCTAGATAGGAGGTCTACCAACCTAGCCACCAGTTGATCCAGACATGAAGTTGCATCATGCAGGACTAACTGAATTGGTAGTGTCATGGGTTAATAAGTAACTTTTGCTACTAATGATCTAGCTCTAGTAGGAAGCAACCAATGACCCTGCTCTAAGACTAACTTAATGCAATGAAACAGACAGGTAATGTTGTTTCTTTTCTAGTTTTTTTTTATTTACCCCAAATTGATTTTTTATTATTTATTTCGCTTCTATTTATATATCTTATTTTTCTTAAATTAATTACATCATAATTGATCATATAATCGATTGACTTTAAATTAACTATATGGCTAATTTCATATACTATCATTGACTTTCAAATTGACTATATATTTTATGCATATTCGTTATTATACTATACCTTATTATTTAATTAGTAGTATCAATTCTTGCAAAACTGATCTTACATAGTGCATAATTTTTCAATCCCAATCGATCGATCGCTATGTGATCATATGAACATAGTATCGAATGAATGTTTGCATGACCCCTCATAGCTACATGCACTTGCTATCTATACACACATTTTTTTTTTATTTATTTATTTATTTTTATTTATTTATTTATTTTTATTTATTTATTTATTTATTTATTGTCTTGTTTTTTAGAGCTCCAAATTGACGCCTCTTACTAAATATACCATATACTTTTCTTCACCACGACATAAGCTAGATTCCCTATGATCATCATCCTTGAGATCATTACTAACTTTTTCACTTTTGTCAGGGCTTTGATTCAAATTATATACCCTTTTGACTCTGTTCCTAGTAATAGGGTTCCTGAATTCAGTTTCATCCAATTCGGCCAGGTAATATTGACCATGCTTTTCAATTTTTCGAACCTTATAAGGTCCATTCTAATGATAATCCAATTTTCTGGATAATGAAGTTTCCAAAGTTGAATCATAGACCAGCACTAGGTCCCCTATCGCAATCTCTTCTTTGCTGATATCGTTATATTAATCATAAAAGTACTTCTATCATTCTTTTAATTCATCATGATTGACACACACTTCTTTTAATTCATGGATCAAATTTTTCATTTGCAGTGCCCGAAACTCCAAAAGTTTTTCAGTAGTCTAATCCTTTTTCAGCATGTAAGTCTGATAAGTCTTGATTGTCAACTCCAAAAGTGTTATGGCATCTCTTTCATATACAAGCCAGAAAGGAGAATATCTGAGTTCTCCAACAGTAATATTCAATGCCTACACAACTTCACGCAAGTATTCATGCCATTGATTTTGCTTCTCAGCACACACCTTACACAGCACCTTCGTAATTTTCTGGACAGTCCTTTCTGCTCTCTCATTTGCTTCTGGATGATAACTTGCTGCAAAGTTTTGGTCAACACCCAACCATGTAGTAAGTTCACTTATGACACTATTCTTGAATTCTGTGCCCCTATTCGACACTAATTTCACAAAACATTTATGCCAGATGATCACATCATCTCAGATGAACTAGACAATACTCTTCATATTTTTTCTTTTGAGTGCCCGGGCCTCCACATACCTAGTCAAATCTTTTACAGCCACCACTATATGTTCATGTCCAGTATTAGTATGTTGCATTAGGCCTATGCAATCGATATACAATCAATAGAAGATCCAACTAGTCGCTACTATATGAAGGGGCTCTTTAGGTCTCTTGAGCTCACACCTTTGACACACTATGCAGGACATCACGTAGGTACTTATGTCCTTATACAGATCACCTGACACCCATTTATAACTCATTAAAATCTTTCTAACCAACTGTTGATACCTTAGTGTCCCCCTTCACTAACAATCTCTTTATGATTTGCCTTTATAATCATCTTCTTTTCTTTAGGATCGAAAATTACTCTTTGCAGTGGCTTTCCTTTGGCAGATCTGCAGTACAATTGTTTATATAATAGACAATATTTCCTTAACTTTGGCTTTAATCGTCTAAGATCTTCCTTCATCACATGAGATAGCCAGCTAAAAAATCTCAGACAGTGTATTATAGCCTTTAAATCATTTAATTTTTGACTTTCAATTTTCATGCGCATTAATAGATCCTCAACATAATCATCATCCGTGTGACCTTGCTGGTTTGGATATCTTGAAATACCATCAGCATTTGAATGCAACTTCTCCAACTTATATCGTATATGAAAATCGAACATTTGAAGGGCCAATACCCATCACATGAGTCACCCTCTGAGTACTGCCTTATTAAACAACCACTCTAATGCATAATGATCAACCCAAACATCAAATGTAGTTCCTCCCACATACCGCTCATTCATATTACAACCGAATACCACACCCATATATTTTTTTTCTGTTATGATATAGTTGAGCTCATGATTATTTAATTTCCTAGATTTGAACAATATAGGATGCAACTGACCTTCTTCATCTCGTTGCTCTAGTACTACACCTAAAGACACTTCATATACATCTGTAAACATCTGATATGAACATTCTCTGTTTTTGGCTTTTTCCCAATTAGGTACTTTCAATATAACATTTTTTACTAATACCTCTTTTAATCTTTAAAATGAATGTTTTTGTTCAATGTTTCATTGATATCCAATATCCTGCTTTGTTAGGTCTATCAACGGTTTTGCTACTTTGCTATGAATCTTCAATAATAATTTATCACTCTCAAAAATAATCTGACTTCAGTAATATTGATAGGACTTTTCCATTCTACCACCCTTCTGATTCATTTTGAATCTACTTTTATTCCCCTTTTGCTCACAAATACCCGTACATATTCAACTCTTTATAGAGCAAATGGCACTTCTTTGCCACGAATGTCAATCCAACCTCTCTAAACCTGCGTGCCAATTTTATAAATAAGTCAACATAATGTTCAATTGTACCATCTGTCCACAATCCTATATCATCTTGATAAGCAGCAGTGATATTATGCTATTCATTGCCCTCTAATACAATGTCCATCAAGCACTGAAATGTCTCACTAGCGTTCTTCAATCCCATACACATAACAGTGTACTTCAACAATCCAATAGGAGTGGCAACTGCAACCTTATCTCTATCTTCCTCTTAGATCTGGATTTGCCAATATCTTTTATATGCATTGACTGACAAATACCAGTCATAGCCGACTGCTACTTCCAGAATGTCACAGATTAGAGGCAACAGATATCCATCCTTTACAATATATTTGTTTAGCAGTCTCATGTCTTCCACAATCTGAAATTGGTTAGTCTCACCCTCTTTCTTGTTTACAAGAAAACAGTAATATGCATATTGCCTTTTTCCTTTTTCTAGTAAACCATACTTGACCATTTCACGAAGTTGGTTCTCAAACAACATAGCCTGTTCTGGATTATTAATTCAAACAGGTTTTACTCTGGTTTCTGGTATTATCTTCCCACCCGTGTGTACCTCATATTTAATTAGATCTGTCTTTCTAATTTTAGAGAGTTTGAAAGCAAATACCTCTAAGACATGTTCAATTAGCTGTTTTATTACATGATCCCTAATATCATTAGATATCTCATGGCTAACATCTAACATATTACTGTTTTCTATCATAAGATGCATTACTACCTCTGGTCCTTCGATATTAATTATACCGTTCTTATGCTCATAATTTGTAGTCCAATAAATGACCTGACCATAATGCTTCAAACCTATGAGTTGTTCATCATCGACTAGCTCAATTTCTCTTTTTACTAATCGATTGCCATTCTTGGCTTTTTCTTTTAATACTTTATACTCGTTATTCATTTTCTCAAGTTCGATTCCATTCATATGGACCCTTTGCATTGATAGAACTTCAGTTTCCTCTTCGCTGTCTTCATCATCATCCCTATCATATTTATGGTTTACCCAATATTCAGATACAGTAGTGGCCACAAACAATACTTCCTTGCATCTTGAGGCAAGTGAACACCAATATTGATTATTTCTCCATTGCAGGTCACATTTAGTAGCCACGATCCATAGCATGCCTAATAATATATTAAAACTGGCAGACACCATAACATAAAATCCTTGTGCACTACTATACTATCAGCATTGACTTCTAAGTTTGGTATGTAGCCAAGAAAGTTGCTGATACTGTCATCGGCCATTCTACCCTTTCCATTAACAGATTTCTATGATAGTCCCCTTTCTCTAGCATATTTCTCATAGATAAGATTTAATTAGGATCCAAGATCAATTGGAGCATTTATTCTTTCTCTATTGATAGCAATTACACTTATAGGAACATCACCTACTTGTTTCACATTCTTTCCCTGAACCGCACAAACAATGCTCACATTGGTATCTAACAGAACAATGTCACTCTCTCTCTTCTTTTGGGTTAATGCCTTTAATACCTCTGACCTAGCTTTTGGGGACCACTTAAATAAACAATTGACTGAGAGTCAATGTTATCTTCATTTTAGCGATTTTCTTGAGAATATCAAGTTTCTGACTTAATTCTGATAATGGTATATACATTACAGGCCCCAACATAGGCGATTCAACAGAGTTATTTCTGGGGATGTTGCTTTCTTCCTTTTTCTTTTTATTCTCATCTTCGACTACAGCATCTTCTGCATTCTTGTCTATGCATCTCTTTTTTCGTAAATTATAGTTCTGTATATCAAATATGGATTCTTTCCTTATCATCTCGACTTTTAGGCATTCAACACCCAGATTATCTGCTGTTGAGATTATTTCAAAATATCAAATATTTGCACCCCTTATTTCGACATCTTCATTTCTGAGATTTCTTAGTTCATTTTCTGTTTAACAGGTGGACCTTGAGGATCTCGATTCAGGCAATTGTGTGAGATGTGTTCCTCTTGTTGACAATTAAAGCACCATCGATTATCAATGTTTGTTCTTGAACCTTGTGTTGAATACTGGTTTCTTGAGACAGAATGTCCAGGTGCCATGCTACTAGTAAGTTCCTTAACCACCTTTACTAATTCCTTGATGTCTGCTTCAATCTTATCTATTTTTGTAATATCACTGGCTTTTTGGTTTACCTAGTTTATTGTTAAAGCCTCAAGCGCAATAGTTATGCTATCAATGGTCGATTCACTTGGTTGAAATTTCTCTTCAACTAATAACGAACCCCTTTTATCATGATGCTCTCTGTTTTTTGGAAAGGTTTCGATTTGAAGCGCACATTCCTTCACTTTTATATAATTGGACGAACAAAAACATTCCACCCTGGATCGATATGGTTCACGTAAGCCATCTAAGAACTAATCGTGTTGTTCATAGCTTCTTATCTTGTTTTTTATTGCATCAGCATAGGCTTCAAATCTACTTGCATATCCCCTTGCTGTTTCTCTTTCCCCTTGTTTGATATTTCTTAATCAATTAATCTTTGTCCTATTATCATTCTTAGCATTTATTATTTTCACTATAGCATCCTTCAAATCTGACCATTGTGTCTTAGTTTTTATCAATTTTCATACCTATGGCTTGGTTTCCTCTGACATGTGCAAGACAATCATTCCACATTGTGTTTCCTCATTCCAACCTTTTGATTTTGTGAACCTCTTATAATCAAAAAGGAACCCATCGATATCATCCTTGTTTTCTTCATAAAAGAATGGCTTTGTCAAATCCTTCAACATCACAGCCACATGGATACCAGTAAAGATTTTAATATGATGAGCAATTTGGGTATGTATGATTGTTTTAGTGCTTTAATGACTTGCTACAGTGTCTAATAAATATTTGGGGTTTTTTTTTTTTTACTGACTCAACAAAATCCTTTTCTATATTTGGCGAGATGACTGATTATTATTGCTCAGGTTCTCATGTCACAGGTTAATAAGTAACTTTTGCTACTAATGATCCAGCTCTAGTAGGAAGTGACCAATGACCCCGCTTCAAGACTAACTTAATGCAATGAAACAAACAGGTAATGTTGTCCCTTTTCTAGTTTTTTTTTTATTTACCCCAAATTGATTTTTTATTATTTATTTCGCTTCTACTTATATACCTTATTTTTCTTAAATTAATTACATCATAATTGATCATATGATCGATTGACTTTAAATTAACTACACGGCTAATTTCATATATTATTATTGATTTTCAAATTGACTATATATTTTATGCATATTCATTATTATACTATACCTTATTATTTAATTAGTAGTATCAATTTCTGCAAAACCGATTTTACGTAGTGCATAATTTTTCGATCCTGATCGATCGATCACTATGTGATCACATGAACATAATGTCGAATGAATGTTTGCATGACCTCTCATGGTTATGTGCACTTGCTATCTATATACACTTTTTTTTTTTTTTTTTTTTTTTTTTTTTTTTTTTTTTTTTTTTTTTTTTTTTTTTTTTTTTTTTTTTTTTTTT